CTCTGTGTGAATACAGTCAGTCGAGTCAAAAGATCATAGGAATAGCACACATACCGTGTAATGCGGAATATGAGCTTACAGCTTGACAGTATTTTGCCACCCGGGAGGCTTTTACAAGTATAGCTGCAGGTGTGACCCCCTGCTGATGCAAGAAACGTAGGCTTAATAGAGTAAGCAATATAGACCTATGCATGTAACCATGGTACTTTATGTGTTTGTCGGCCGAGTGCACGTCTGATCATATTGTTATCGATGCATATCAGGTAAAAGAGTGTGCTAGATTCTGTGCGTTTCTACCTCACTTAACTGATTTGCTCGTTAGTCACTGGTGCTGCGATCAAACAATGGGACCCCCGGCAAAGGGTTGAGCTTACAATGATATAAACTATATTTGTGCATGTTTTATTTTAAAAAAAATTCCGCACGGAATCAGTGTCTGGCTCCTGTTTGCCTTTTTTTGCATTCAATTCGGAAAGTTCTATTTCTTTACCCATGCGCGTGTTGGGGCTGTTATCGCGTCAGTTATAACTATTTTCTTTTATGCATATTTCAAAATCGACCGTAGCGTTTTAGTGGGTTTGGCCGACCCTGTTGTTCAACGGCAAGAACTATTTGCCAATGTTGCAGGATCCACGTAGACACCTTGATGGTTGGCATTAAGCTAGGTTTTGAACGTCGTTATTCGTTACTGTCAATGAGCTCGCAAATTTAGGTTTTGCAAAACGTTGCAGACCCATAAGTTGGGTGATGGAGATTGTTTCAAAATAATTTCGGCCGAGATACTACCGTAAACAGCCTGGACTGTCTCTTTGGAGACGTGGGTGTAATCCCGTGAACGGATCTCTCACTAACAGTATTCGTGAATCCTGTTTGTTCCGTTTTCTACTTAAACTGCTGGTTATGCACAACAAGCGAGAGGAATTACTTGTATAAGTTTTTGGTACGCAATTTCTTTGGGCTTTGAGGGCATCTTAACTTGTCCAAAACCACCTATAAACACTTGAAACTTGCGGTTTGCATCTTGTTGACCCAATTTATCTCTTAATCAAGAAAATTTGCCTTAGGGCATTTGAAACTAAATATCCCCTGGAGTTGACGAGTGCCCATTAGGGGGCTTGTTAGCTCTTGGTAGAAGATGCAGTTTCGGAGTGCATTGGCCATTACAGTTCTGGTGGTCAAGTTAATTTGTCATCACCGATTCAGTTAATCTGTCATGTCTTGTCGCTGTTTAACACTAGCTAGGCGATATCTTCCGCGTTTTCAACCCGTTGGTTTGTGTCCTAGTGGCGGTCCTATATTATGAACCGCACGTGACATCGATAACAATAAGTTTATAATATGTGAGCACTGGATCGCATGTCAAACAGTTGATACGAACAGTTATTGGCACAAATACACAGGTGGTGTGCTCTGTTCACAGCGATGCTATTGGCCCTCGAAAATCATTGCCTCCGTGTGTGGTTTAAGCAGTTAATTAAATTCGGGAGTGCGTTCGTGCATGTCCCCACCCAGCACCAGGGCCTCACCCCCTGGGACCGTATGAGTCGGAAATGCCCAAAACCTCTTCAGCATGGGCCATAAGACGTCTTGCGGTGGTTTGCGGGCTTTGTTTTCTTGTTTAAGAACTCAATATGACACGGTCACCAGGTACAATCTTATCCCTATTGT